GACAAGCCTGGCTTTCCCGCATGGGCGTGGTGCCCGTCCAGCCCTCTAACTGCTCCCACCACGGCGGCAATGCTCCATCTCTCCATTTCTCTCCCCGACTCTTCCCGGAGCTGCAGAACTGCTCCTCCTGACTTGGGCGCGTCCCCACTGGTCCTGTCTCTCCTCTGTTCAGAACCCGCCTGTGGCCTTACTGCACATTAACGTCCGAGGCCGTGCATGACTGACCACTGCCCACCTCTCCAACCACGGCACTCCCACCTCTACCCCTGACCCCCACCAGTGCCTGAAGGGCTCGGATGGTTGTCATAGCTGGGCGCCCTCACCCATGCTGGCCTTTTGGTCTGGAAGGTCTGCATTCTACATTCATAACAATTGTCTTCACTCCGTAAGGCTCAGCTCATGTTGCCCACGCTCTAAAATGTTTCCCAAAGAGGCCTGACTTCCTACACACCCCTGACAAGGGGTCTCTCATCTGCTCTGGCACTTGGCTTCTGTTCCTTGCTGCCACAGCTGTCTCCCTGCCCAGCCGGCAGCTCTCCCTTGGGGCTGCACCCGCTCACGTCTGTACGCCTCACATGCTGGGTGCTGACTTTTAGAAATGAATCTTTAGAAATCAGATAAAGGTTGAATTAACACATTTATTGATCAACAAAAGAGCAATAAATGTTGAGTCCAACTGGTCCTAATTCTGCCCCAGACAACTGCCAAGGCCAAGCCCAGGTCTTCCTCTACAGACTGCATTTGCCTGAATGCTGGCGACTGGAATGGCTGTCTCCCGGGACGGGAGCAGCCTTGCTTCTTCCTTCCTGCTGGCTGGGCTGAGGACATCCTGGCTGGAGACCCAGCAGTCATTCTGAACCACGAGGTACCACGACGTGGAAGCCACGCTGCATGGTAAAAGCAAGGAGGCAGGTGTGGGTCGCTGGCCCACGCTCGCGTTGGACTTGCTGCCTGCAGACTTCTAGAACACACAACAGAAATAAACTTCCTTCTTGAAGCCACTGTCACTCACATTTTTCTGGAACTTGAAATTGAACACAGTCCTAATTAATAGACTATTTCTAAGTCGCTCCTATTGAATCCATCTGGCACTAGCTCTGAATTCAATCTTCCCAACACAATTACCATGCTTCTCACACTCCTACTCAAAAACTGTCAGTGACTTCCACATTCCATTAGGATAAAAACTAGATTCCTTAGCTAATCACTCAAAGCCCCAGAAGCTGGCCCTGTGTTACAAAGCTAACCTCAACAACTCTCCCCCCACCCACCCCACCAACACACCACACACACACTCACTGCCTGCCCCTCGACTCCAGCCCAGTAGCTCCATGCAATGTCCCTCACTCTTTGCTGGCTGAATTGAGTAATGACGACTGAGATAATGCGTAGGTGAATATGTTACCCTTATGTGGCAAAAGGGACTTTGCAAATATTATTAAATTAAGGACCTTGACATGGAGAAATTAGCCTGGATTATCCAAGTGGGCCCAATATAATCACAAGGGTCTTTATAAGAGGGAGAAGAAGGGGCAAGGAAGAGGAAAGGGGGGAGAAAGACAAGGAGAGGGAGGGGAAGAAGAGGGGAAAGGGAGAGGACAATGAGGAGACTAGAAGTTATCTTTTTATCTTTTCAAGATGGAAGAACAGATGAGGAACCAGAAGCACAGGTAGTTTTTAGAAGCCAAAAAGAGCAAGGGAACAGATTTTTCCCTAGAGCCTCCAGAAGGAACATAACCTTGCCAACTCCTTGATTTTAGCCCAGGGAGACCTATTTCAGACTTCTGATCTCCAGAACTGCAAGAGGATACATTTGTGTTGTTCCTAAGCACGAGGTTGTGGTAAGTTGTTACAGCAACCTTAGGAAACTAGCGCAATAACCTAAAGTAGCAATGGGGGATTCCAACAGAGTGAGCCTCACTCTCCAATGGTAGACAAAGGCTCCTCTGACAATGCTCTGGGAGGAACTTTCCATAAATGCTAACTGGTCGCCTGCTCAGCCTCTGACTTTACATGCAGATATTCTGGTAAAAATTTCAGTTTCAACCAATTCACTCTGAGCATTACTACATCCTACACACTGGTGGATTAATTCATATTATCTCATTTAACCCTTACAACAATCCTATGACATAGATAGTATCATGTCCATTTGTAGGATGATACGACCAAGGTTCAGATAATAAAATGTATAGCTAATAAATATTGAGCACTTACTCTGAGCCAGGCACTAAATACTTCATGTGTGTTAACTAATTTAATTCTTCCAACAATCCTATTCCCTGTTTACAGATAAGAAAACAAAGGCATGGAGAGTTGAAGTAACTTTTCAAAATCCTTACAGGGGATGACTGGCAGGGCTGAGGATGGAAACCAGGTATCTTCAGGAGCCAAGATCAGTGTGTTCTGGGTTGTACGCCCACTACTCTCATCACTGTCATCCTCATTACCACTCATTATCAACAACAGCCAAGGCCTCTGGCGTGGGGTCAGCCCTGCCTCTGTCTCTGAGTCCCCTTCAGGGTCCTGCTGGGGCAGGCATGGTGGCTGTCTGCTGATCCACATGGCAAGGCTCAAAAGCGCTCTCATGGCTGTAGCTCCAAGGGGCAACTGGTCCTTGGAAGGGCTTCCCTCGTGCTGTTTTTTTGTTTGTTTTTTTTCCTCACCCGAGGACATCTTTCCATTTTTTTTTGTACAGACAGAGTGGGAGGGAGAGAGAGGAAGAGAGAGAAAGGGAAACATCGATGTGAAAGGGACACATCGAGTGGCCGCCACCCGCATGACCAACCAGGGCCGGGGACAAACTGCAACCGAGGTACATGCCCTTAGCGGGAACCGAACCCGGGTCTCTCCGGACCGCAGGCGGACGCTCTAACTGCTGAGCCAAACTGGCCAGGGCTCCCTCGTGCTGTTTACTAGCAACAGTGATGACATGGTCCACTCCCCACCTGGCACCTCGGTCCTCCTCTTCCCCTGAGCTTCCTAAGTTACTCCTATATGCACCTTAAACAGTGGAGCCCTCCTGAGCTTCCCTGAGAATGGGGAGTCCCGGGGAAGGGCTCTCTCAATGGGCCATGTGCTACAGACCCAGTTCTGGGGACCGCACTAGGGCTCTCACCCGCCTGACTGGTCTTAAACTCATTTGTCCACCCCGAGGCCTCTCATTCCTCTCTCACTGCCCACCCAGCTTCCCACCCAACCGCGTGCAAAGGCCAGCGTTTACACCCATCCCACCCTCCTCGGCCTGCTCGGCCTGAGACCTGAGCCTATGTCTGCCCCTTTCTCCATCCCCACCCCCGCCTCGCCCCCTGCCTTCTCTCGGGTACCAGTCAGAGCTGTTCCTGAGCAAATAGTAGGATTTCTTCCTAGAACTTTCAACAAATTTCTTATTCCTTCTCTATCTTTCAAGGAGCAATAATCTATTTCCTTTTCTTTAAATCTGGGGCCTCATTTCAACTACCTCTTGCTGACAAAGATATAGGTTGTTTGCTGGTGAGAGCGTCAGGCACGATAGCCATTGAGGGACCTCAGAGGTGGACTACACGACGGCTCCTCCAGCCGGTGCGCTCAGGCCGCAGTGGCTCCAGTTCGCCCGGGTGTGCACCCGAGAAGCAAAGAATCTTGCAGCTTGATTTGTAGAAAAGAGAAGCCTGGCAAATTGGGGGCCTGAGACTGAATTCTACTTGCACCAATCGACGTATCAACAGATAGGGAAACGGAAGGTGCAGAGTCACAGGTCTCTGCTTTCTCCACAGTGGATCGATTCTAAGGGACCAAGCTTCAGGGGCTGGGAGGAAACTTTCCAAACCGTAAGCCCATCTCGGTGTCTTGACAGGGTTTTATGATTCTGCCACTTTGAAAGCAGGCAGGAACCACTGTGCGAGAGTGGACTCCTACATGGAACACTCCAGTTAAATACATGCGGATTCTCTGCGCCTTGGGAAGGAGGTGACTGCTCAAAGGAACTCCTGCTTTTTCTGGAAAGACAGGTGATGGAACTCACCACCTAACCTTAGGATGCACCTGGAACTGTTCTGAGGACTTGAATAATTCTCACAGCCCTGTGGGTATTATCCCATGAAACAGATGAGGAAACTGAAGGACAGACTAGTGGGGTAACTTCAAAGTTACTAACCTAGGCAACCTAGACAGGCCAACCTCAGAGTCCCTGCTCTTGACCACAGCCCTCTGTAGCTTCTTGGCTGTCTCTTGATTGCCCCACACCTGGAAGGCGATTAAATGCACCTGGTGCAGACGCAGCCTGGCTCGCGGATGTGTGACAATTGGGAACTGGGTCAACTGGGTTTGTTCAGGTGGGAACACGTGTTCGAGGAGCTACCTTTCCGTGCCGCCAGTCCTGGAGACCTTAACAGGAGAGAGTCCATGTTTCTGTCCTCTATCCCAAACTATCCTCGGGGTTTCTAGCAACTACCATAAAATGCCCTCCCTTTGCTCTCCTTTCTCCACAGTACAGGGAAGCTGGAGCTTAAGTTGCCACAGAGAACCAAAGAACAAAATCCAGACTACACGGGCATTCAAATACCAGCCGACCAAAGGTGGGGATCGGCATCAATCGGCTGGCCCGCTGGTCAAGCCTCCCTTTCCTCGGCCCATGGAGACCAGGTCTGGGTGCCCCGCAGCGGGACACAGCGCCCCCACGGGGCACTGCGAGGTGGCTGCTGTGCTGTGCGCCACGCGCAGGGAACGCGCCCAGCTCGCGGGCCGGGGTGGCTTCGCCTCTCGGCGAGGGGTCCGGGCTCCGCCGCCCGCCGCGCCGCGCTCCGCCCCGAGGGGTCTCAGCGATGGGCCCAGAGGAGGGAGAGACGCCTGGCGCTCGGGGCCGCGCGGAGCCGCAGGGTGTGGGGTGAGCGGGGGCGCAGCGCCCGCGGGCGTCGGTCAGCCCAAGCTCCTGCCTGTCGGCCAGAAGTCGGTCGGTCCGTCTGTCTGCGCCCCGGGCAGCCGGACGGTGCGGAACCCCGCGGAGAGCGCGCCCTGCTCACCTGCAGCCGCCGGCGCCTGGGAAGCGAGACGGGGACGCGGCACCTGGGTCTTCCTCGTGGGCCTCCTGGCCGCGTCGAGAGCCGCGGCTGTCTTCGGGGACCGCTCGTGGGAGCAAGAAGCCCGCGCCGCTGTCGCTGTCTTCTTCTTGGCCGCCTCCTCCAACTCCCATCCCCAAGCGCTCCCCTTGCTCGCTGGCTGCCTGGAAGGCTTCGGGCCAGTGCGGGCGGGCGGGCGGGGGAGGCGGCGCCGCGGCGGGCGGAAGGGGGGGGTGTCCTCTTTGGGGATGGGGAAGGCGCGGAGAGGGAGCGGCCGCGAGTAAGGCCCCACCCTGCAGACTTCCCCGGGAGCTGGGCACCCTGGCCGTGCGCCCTGCCTGCTGCCACCTGGCTCCGCTCGGGCCCGTCTGCAAGCCCAGGCGGGAATCGGACTCCAGGGGTCTGTAGCCGCAGGCTCAGTGCTGCAGAGAGCTTTGATGGGTTGGTGAAGGGTGTAGCAAGGAGAGCATCTCCAGGGAGAAGGGAGGCACGGCAGGGGTCCTATATCCTCAACTTGAGGTCACGATTGGCAGAAGGTATCCATCGATCACACACAGACACACACACACACACACACACACACACACACACAAAAGTGATGAGAATTGGGATAATTGGTGACAAGTGCCAGGAGTTGTCTTAACAGTGCCTAGAACACGCCACCGGTGCGAAGTCGTATCAACAGAGTGTCCATTGGCCAGGGACCAGGCCCAGAAATGAGGGGAGTAAGATGCCAGGATGGAAAGGAAACAAAGCCCCTACCCTAAAGGAGCAGAAAAAGTCTAATTCAGACAAGACTTTTGAAATTATGAACGAAGATATTTGCAATTTGTAAAGTGGGAGAACATGACCTTAGAGGTCTCCACAGAATTTGGGAGGGTTGCAGAAGATAGGATTGGTGTGTGGCCGGGAAATGGGATGTCACTATACCAGCTCTCCTTGCTTCTGGCCAGCTGGGGTGACTGGGCTCTGCACAGCAGGCCAGGACATCTAATAATGGCTCCAGAATTCTGTCCCCAAAGTAATAACCCCAAGCACCCATGTTCAGGTTTGGTTTTGTTTTTTTGGTACATGCCCCTAGCAGGAACCGAACCCAAGACTCTGGTCTGCAGGCCGACACTCCAACCGCTGAGCCAAACCGGCCAGGGCTATGTTCAGGTTTTAACAAGCTACGGGGGAGAGGCAGCAGAATTGAGTTAATGAATTTTAAAACCTCTGAATGTGCCAGAGTCTGATAATGTAAGTGTTCTTGGCTGCTGTTACTCCTAACCATCACTCCTATTTGATGAGAGTTGGTTTCTGGAATATGAAAAAACACCATGTACAAAATCAGTTCTTCAGAAAAGCTCCAAAAGTGGGTAATTAAAATTGCAGCCAGAGCCATGGCCGGTTTGGCTCAGCGGTTAGAGCGTCGGCCTGTGGTCCAGAGAGACACTGTTCGGTTCTCGCTAAGGGCACGTGCCTAGGTTGCAGTATGTCCCCAACCCCCGTTGGGGTCATGCAGGTGGCAACCGCTCGATGTGTCTCTTTCACATCAATGTTTCTCTCTCTCTCTTCCTCCCACTCTATCTGAACAAAAAACAAAAAATGGAAAAATGTCCTCGGATGAGGATAAAAAAAAAAAATTGCAGCCATATTCCGGCCAGTGTGGCTCAGTGGTTGAGCATGGACCCATGCAGCAAGAGGTCGCCAGTTCGATTCCCAGTCAGGACACATGCCCAGGTAGTGAGCCCAGTCCCCAGTGGGGGGGAGCATGCAGGAAGCCGCCAACTGGTGAGCTCCCTCATCGATGTTTCTGTCTCTCTCTCCCTCTCTAATCAATAAAGAGGAAAAAAAATTTTTTTTTAAGAGTAGCTGTAAAGCAAGGGGTTAACATACTCAAACCATCAGGTACCACAATGTCAAGAATTTTGGAGTCCTGTTCCCTTACCCTGCACCTTAGGCCCACTGGGCACTTGGCTGCCTGCACTGGTCAGAAATAGTTGCTTTGTATTTCTTTGGGAGGAGGTAGATAGAGGTCAGAAAGCAGAGGACAGTCTTTAGGAAATTGTTGGTCTCTGTAGTCTTGGATCTCACTGATGAAAATTATTCCTGAGTCTGGGCCAATGAAAATCCCTTAGGAACTGAGGAAGTTGAGTTACAGTTTATGGAAACTTATATTTTAAATGTGTTGCCTTATTCCAAAATGCCAGTATGATCCAGTAATTTATCGGGAAAACAATAGCAATTCTAAAATCCTTCCAAATTTTAAGGAATTGTAATTTAGTAACTGATTCCAGGGACTCTGGTGTATGCCAATTAAAATGGGTGTTTTCCCCCCAGGGAGTTCTACTGGAATTCTCCAGAATAGGAAATCTCTGTGTGAAGCACTCCTGGAGCCAAGTCAAATAGGTCAATGAGTTGTTCTACCTTGTAAAATGATCTTCAGGTTTGCCAGAAAGAAAATGAAGCAAAAGTGAGCTCAATGTCTTGAACTATCAAGTCAGAAAAAAAACCATTCCTTAATTTCCCGATTACCTTCAGAGTGAATGCAAGTTAATAATAATAAAGGTTGCTGGGGAAGGCCCAACGTTGCCTTTTCTGCCAGAGGCCCTGATACCAACTTAGTGTACTGAGAATCTTATTCAGAAGAAGTGTGGGGTTAAGATTTTTAGTTCTCATGTGGGCACTCAAGCAAGCAGACAAGAATTAGGGTGTGAGGTATCTGAGAGTTCAAGAGCTAGTTGGAATTTATAACTGTTTAAACTAATTACACCTTGATAGCTCTACTGGGTTCCACTCTCAGTTCCCTATCTCCATAGAGGGTCTATTTTGGAGTAAGGGTTTGGTGTGGGGGAGAGGGGTGTTGTTTGACCCAGGCCTCAGACTCATGAATAGCCTCAAATATAGACTTTTGACATAAGCATTCCTTTGTTCCTTGTAAACAATAGAACTTTTTGTTGTGTTTTGCTTCCTAGATGGCAGATTGAAATGAGACTATCAAACAGAAAGTGGACCAGAGTATAAGGAAACCAAAGAGCAGACACATTGGCTCACAGACCCATAGCCTGAAATAAATCCTGTAATGAATGAGTGAGGAGAAATGTAAAATTGTAATGTCACCTCACTTGCACTGTTTCTCTAGGTGACTGATGATGTTTGAGTCCCATGTCAACTATTGGAGCTCCTCCCCCTTTCACTCAAGTAGAAGGGCACCTGGAGGAGGAGACATCGTCCCTTTGGGCCAGCTGCCAACTGGTTAGCTCTGGAGATATGGGGTTGAGAGGAGAGTATTGCAAGACAGTGGCTTGATGTCCACTCCAGCCCAGGGTATGGTACTCTCCTAGCTGGGGCACTGCTCCTACTGGATGCCCCATCAACATGGACAGCTGGTTCCATGTCCAGAGGGTCCCCTTGGGGACAGGCTGGCTGATAGCACCATTGTCTTAGGTGAAATGATTTCTAAACAAACATCATCCCACCTTGGAAAGACAGGATGAAAGTGGATTAGTGAAAAGCTAGGCAAGTCAAAACTGTGTTCAGGTAAACAATAACATTTCAAAGAAGATGCAAATGTTTATACGTGATCTTGAACTTGGACCATTTGCTCCTCAGGGCAGGCAGCAGGCCTTCTGCTTGTTTCCAGATATTGCCTTATGCTGTGCTGTGGAAGGGATTGGGCTGATGTGACTTTAACCTGGGGTTTAGAGCCTTGTAGTGTTTGTGGAATCAGGTTGATGACATTACCTATTAAGAAAGAGATAATGAGGTTATCTGTTATGAGATAAGCCCAGCCTATGTGGCTCAGTGGACTGAGCATTGCCCCATGTACAAAGAGGTTGCTGGTTCAATTCCTGGTCAGGGCACATGCTTGAGTTGTGGACCTGGGTCATGGGTTCGATCCCTGGTGGATGTGCAGGAGGCAGCCAATTGATGTTCTCTCTCATCAGTGTTTCTATTTCTCTCTCCTACTCCTGTCCTCTCTCTCTAAAAATCAATAAAAATATTTTAAAATTAAAAAAAACAATGGAGTGGGGAGACTTAAGACATAGGCACAAATGATTGGGTATCTGACTTATTTTCTTGCATATTGACAAGGCTGAAACACCACCAGTCTTCCTGAAGACTAGTTCCCACTTTTGAAATGGAGGATGGACCTGCTATGTAGGTTAAAGACAAAGAGAGAATCGTAAAAGCAGCAAGAGAAAAGCAGTTAGTTACCTACAAGGGAGCTCCCATAAAACTGTCAGCCAGTTTCTCAAAAGAAACTTTGCAGGCCAGAAGGGAGTAGCAAGAAATATTTAAAGTGATGAAAACAAGGATCTACAACCAAGATTACTCTATCCTGCAAAGCTATAATTTAGAATCAATGAACATATAAAGAGTTTCCCAAACAAGAAAAAGTTAAAGAAGTTCATCACCACCAAACCAGTATTATATGAAATGTTGAAGGATCTTCTTGAAGAAGAAGATAAAAATATATGAACAATAAAATGTCAATAAATACATATCTTTCAACAGTTGAATCTACAAACAAAATGAACAAGCAGAACAGAAACAGACTCATAGGTACACATAACTTTTTGCTGATCGCCAGGTGGGAGGGGAGTATGAGGGATGGGTGAAAAAGGAGAAGAGATTAAGTACAGATTGCCAGTTATAAACATAATCATGGTGCCCAGCTGGTGCGGCTCAATGGTTGAGTGTCGACCCATGCATTAAGAGGTTTCCAGCTCAATTCCCAGTCAGGGCACATGCCCAGGTTGTGGGCCCGATCCCCAGTGGGAAGCATGCAGGAGACAGCCAATCAATGTTTTCTCTCATCAATGTTTTCTTTTCTTTTTTTTTTTTTATCCTCACCCGAGGATACTTTTCCATTTTTTTTTTTTTTTTTTTGTACAGATAGAGTGGGAGGGAGAGAGAGGAAGAGACAGAGAGAGAGAAATATCGACGTGAAGGGACACATCGAGTGGCTGCCATCGCACGACCAACCAGGACCGGGGACAAACTGCAACCGAAGTACGTGCCCTTAGCGGGAACCGAACCCGGGTCTCTCCGGACCGCAGGCCGATGCTCTAACCGCTGAGCCAAACCGGCCAGGGCTCATCAATGTTTTCTATCTTTCTCTCCCCCTCCCTTCCTCTCTCTCTAAAATCAATAAAGAAAAAATTTTTT